TCACAATAACATATCTTCAAATGTTAAGCATCTAACAGAAATATAGATTTTAATAATTGCATTTATTTAAAACCACAACTAGAATAGTACAATTGAGCAGATTCCTTTTAGTAAATTAGATAATAGTATTAAATATCAAACATATATATTTGGTTGAACATATTGTTTAATAATACAGAAATGTCAAAATGTGAATCATGTAAATAGAGTTTTTTGTAGTTAAAATTTTGAAAGATAAAAATAATGTTTTTGGAGTTGAGAAATTTAATTGAAAGCATCTCAAATGTACTCAGAAAAATAAGAACAATGAAATGTTGGGTATATGAAAAATAGAACGATAGAATATGGGAAAAATAAAAATGATGAATATTAGTAGAGCCTTGATCCTATTGTTGATAGGCAATTCTTAGATCAATTCAGATAGTTTGATTAAGGATCGAAGCTCTAAATTTAGGTAAATGGGGAGCCTGATAGTAGTTGAAGTTTTGATAGAAATAATAGTGATTCAATATAAATACACAGTATACTCTCGCTAATAGTACACCAGTACAAGATTCTAATTTATATAAATTTGCTAAGCAGTATAGATAAGTAATAAATCTTTAGGAAAATTTTGGGGTTTGTTGAAAGCAATTCTTTTTTTATTCCCATATATTCTTTCTTATAAATAAAGTTATCTGATCAAGCAATAATAATGAAAAGCTTGTTAACAAAGTGACAGAGCATTTATTATTGCGAAATCAGATAACTTTATATAATCAGCTGACTTTATAGATCACATGTTCAATTTGTTATTTAACTTCTTATTGGTCACCAATTATGTTCTATAATCTGCAATATCATATAATTTAAAAAATGAAATATTTTTCTTCTTAAATATAGTATATTGCTATAGTATTTATTTTTTTATTTAATTATATTTTAAACTATTAATAAATTGATTGCTAAAATATTGATTTGATGTATAAAGGTTTATATTATACAAATATTATTTAATATTTCTTTAAAACAACCTTTTTTATATAACAATCTTACGAAATATTTTCTGAAATTTTTTTTTAACTTAATAAATTCTTATTAAACAGTTTTAGAATATTATAACAAGAATTAATAATATTTGTAGAAGGTTATAATAAATATTATAATAGAAATAAGCTTTTCAAATTACAAATTGTAATTAAACATATTTAATAGTTTATTATCAGTTATAACCAGATAACTTGTTATATAATTAATCAGTTCAAGTTTAATTAAGAAAATTTTATTAAGGATAAATGAGATTGTATTATTCAATCACTGATACTTGTAATCTAGCCTAACTTGGCAACATAAATTTAATCTCCCACTACTATATTTGTTATTCTTGATAAAGTACTACTACTAAATAAAAAGAGATCTTTTAGTCAGTATATAATGCACTGCCAGTTCAGATTATTGAAAATTATTTAAACCAATGCACAACTACTATTCTTAGTGAATGGAAATACCAAATTAAATTGTATATAGATGGTATCAAAGGTTCAATAAATTCTGGTTTTATACTATCATCACTATTGTTTATTTAAATTGAAGCTATATACAAATTCAAATATCAAACAAAAGAAAAAAGATTCTGATAACAAATACTATTATCAATATCAATATACATACTAACTATAATAATACCATAAAAAATAGAATCATTGCTAACTTTTTTTAGAACAAATCCTTATATCACCAAAGGTAACTTACAAATTCTAATTGTCATGAATTGGCCTTTTTTTTTTTTTTTTCTTAAAAAATCTTTAGCAAATCATTTGATAAAAATAAAATCTATCAGATTCTTGAAGATCAATTATAATTTTGCTTCTATTGATGATTCATTGTGATTTTAAGATCCTGTTTTAAAATAATATTGATATGTGAACCTTTTAAAATAGAATAGTTTAAAAATGTCACTAAATAATACAAGCCTATACTGTTGTTATTATAGTTTATACATTAGGATAAACTTTTTTTATGTTGTAACAATTATTATTTCAGCATATTTGAACATGTTGTATATTCTAGTCATTATTTTGTTCGTGAAGTTGACTTAAAATTTTTATAACTTCATCTTCAGAGAAGATATTATATTTAAGTATGCCTTCAAGAAGTTTTTTTTATTATTATTTGTAATTCTACATTGGTGTTTGGTGCCTGTTTGTTCATGTTATTGATAAATGCTTACATTGTTACCTCTGACTTCACTTTCTTGTAGGCTGTTGTTTTTTGTTTGCACTCCTTTTTGTGCTTCATTTTCTGATTTTCTGTTAGTGAATTCAACTTGTGCACTACTACATTGTGTCTTCTGTGACCTTCTAAATTTCTTTGTTTAGTTTTATACACATCTTGCCATAGAATTTCTTGAAGATAAAATATCTCAAAATTGTAACATATATATATATTAGAAAATTCTACCAGTGTCATTTCTAGTGTATACATAAAAATTTTATGCATCATTGGATTCAGAAGAGTGAGGGCAGTAATTAATTTATTCGCTAACTTTCATAGTGTATTTTTTCTTGATGTTGTAGCTCTTTTCTCTTAATAATTATCATGTTACCCATATATTCAGAAATCAATAACTCTAATCATTCTTTTTCTGCTTGTGCAGAACTAATTAGAAGTTTTAATTCTTCTGCATCTACTAACTTGCCTCTGATATTTTATTTAAAAACAAAACTCCAAAATGTTCTAAGGCTTCATCAAAGCCAAAAAATATCTAGGTTAAGTTAGATTAACAGAGCAAATGTATCAGAGTAATTCTTGGAGATGTGGATCTTCATCAATATAAGATAAAAAATGTGTTACTAAATTAGAATAATTGATTTTAGCAGCAACTAGAAAGAAGAGCACAAATGCAGCAAGATTCTTTATTTGCATATCGTAGTTCCCCGATGAATACCAATTTTATGCCTAATCTAATAGCTGATCTAGTAAAAGTAACATAACAAACTTTGAGTACATCATTACTACTACTTTCATATCATTTATTTTTTGATTTTTGATATTCAAATACTTAAAAATTGCTATGCCAATATAACTCCAAAACTCGACTAGTAGCCTGATAATCTACAACACTTTCAAGTTTATCTAAAAATCGAACTCCAAGCTTTATAGCCATATTCGCAATACCATAACCTGAAAAAATGTTTATCAATACAAAACATATAGCTTTCAAAGTATGCCATTGACCTAACAAAAGTCTTGTATCCTTATTTTTTTTTATGAAACTAATCTGTGAAAGATTGCCTAATCACAAGCTATATCTAAACACCCAGTATTAGATATTTCTACATCACTATAGAATAGATTACATGCATTGTGAATATTTGTATTACAATTTGGATTGTTTCCAGGACTAAGTATCACAACTTTAGGGGGTGGTATTTGGCATTCAATTGGAAAGATTTTAGAAATTTCATGTAGAATACTATTTATGTTCCAATTCTCAATACATGAAGACAAAAACTTCTGAAATGCTATCTCATAAACCTCCAAAAGGTTATTAGTAAAAGTCAATGATCCAAAAAAAGACTGATGATTTCATGAAAATCACTAGTATTTACATAATTACAACAGTGTATTTGCATGAGCATTATAAACTGAAAGACCATCCGTAATGTAGCATATGCAGTTCTTTGCACTGCATCATAAATATTTTCATACACAAAAGTCCTTTTCATAAAATTAATATTATTGATTACTAAAACATTTTATATGTATGTACTATATAACAACCTTGTTTCAGTTTTTTCTGCATACTGTCAGATCTTTTCAAGGACCCTCTTATATTGTTGTGTGTATAACACTATATTGGTGATGCAAAGTATATTGTATAGAGAATAATGTAATTTCAGTTTTCTACATATAGAACTCATTATATGAGCTAGCCATATGTTCATGCCTAAAAATGTAATATTCAATATCATTGAAATAAGAAATACTAAAATTTTTGTTATACGATCTATATTAAAAGCTTTTAATAATAAGTTTCTTTGTTTTCTTTTTTTATAAATACATCATATTTCTTCTGTTATAAAGTTTCAATGAATTCATTAAAAAAATTGACAATATATAATGAGAATTTATTTTGATATTCTACTAATGAACTTAGATTCTCAAGATTTGTTTTTTTATTTCATACTTCATGTCATGCATTCTATGCTGTAATTCCTAATGCTTTTTCTAAGTTTAAAGCAGTTTTAGGTGTAATATCATATTTTTGATTTATAATATTTATCATATTAATATAACTTAGCCTTAGAACCATTTTAACAAACACAAGGCTAGGTGAATTTTCAGCACTAAAAATGATCTGGTGTCAAAAAATGTTGGCAGAATAGAAACCAAGTATATTAAAAAAGCCTTTTTGTTATCTCTATTAGCAGTTTCAATTATGCACAAGATCCAATGACCTAAAATTCGAAGTTCATTATTTATATCATTGTTGTATAAATGTTACACTCAAATTTTGGACATCCATAGCCATATCATTCATAAAAGTAACTCTATGTTTAATAAAACATTCTGAATATATATATCTTGGTCTATATTCAGCTTCTCTATTATATATAATATTATCTGATTCTACATTAAATATAGGACAAACTATAAGACCTATACAGGGTATTTGTACATTTTTTCAGAAGATACATTATGAATGCTATATACAAGTTTTACCCTACTAAAAAAATATTATATTTGCTACAAAATAAGTATCATTGGCAAAATATCCAATTTTCTTCAATTGATCATTTCTATTTAATATGTGATTTGTGAAGCTGGTTTTGGTCAAAGAGAAAATGTAATTGACAAACCCCTATTATCGATAATTTATTTATTGTCTGAGTCTGTTAAAAAATCTAAGAATCTATTTATCATGCTTCAATGAGTTGGTCAAGTGGTCTTTGTAATTCTAAGTAGTCATTATAGCATTTAAGATTATTATCAACAATGTCTAGAATTGGACAAGGTGACTATTGCAGGTTAAGTTTAGTAATGGCATCAAAAACACTCTTGACAAGAAACTTATTCTTATTATTTATATTAGCTTCAATATTAGATGCAGAAGATAATACTATATCACCATTGTCTAGATCTGTATCATTATTATTTTCTCTTAAAATATTTATATCTTCTTTTTCTTCTGCTTTTGCAAGTATATTAGAACTCTACATTTTTCTCTTGTGAACCATCTTGTTTAATGCATTGTGATACTTCTAATTTTAAAAAAATCTTGAGTCAAAGTTGCCTAATTTTTTGAAATATTTTTTCAGAGAACAATAGCATGGGAAATTTTTTTTGTTAAAAAGAAAATATTTTGGTTTCAAAAATAGTATCCTGAATCTTTTATATTTAATTTTGAATTGTTTTTTTCTTTTCTTTTTTTAACATATATAGTAGCATAGTAAGTTTACATAATGGTATGATAATAAAGTTCATTTAAACCACTACTTTAGTATCATTAGTTTTATATTTTCAATCCTTTTTTTTTTTAATTTTTTTTTATTGAATTTTTTTTTTGTCAGATTGTTTTTCTTATCAAATTTTTTTTTAAATAGAAATGAATACAAACCAACTAAAATCCTATAATACTGATACACATTGGTCCTTAATAGTTTTGAATATGTATCTAAAGAATATAAAGAGTATACCA